CTTCTGCGCACATGTACTTGCCCAGAGGAGTAAATCGGCTGCAGAAAATAAGAGCCTTGTTTAGTTCGTCTTCGAGTTGAAAGGTTATATTAGCTCTCTAATTCACTAAATTACAACTACAATTGATTTAAAACACATTTTCACCTATTGCAGTAGGCTCAGAAAGCATCACTTGGTGGAAAAGCCTGCCGTGCTGCGCTCTAATTGACGCATCCTTATACGCTCTCGTGTTCGCAAGGAGTGCTTTTCACATCACTGAGGAATTAGGTCCATCCATCAATTTTGAAGTTTGGGAAACGTCATGAACCTGCTAGAACGAAGAGTTAGCCCAAGGGTTAAGAAAATGTGTCAGTAAAAGCTTTTTTATTTATCTCTCGTGCGCGTGGGTTATAATGGGTAAATGAGTGGGTATAATTAGAAGTCCTCGGTAACGTGACCACATCTACCTTCACGATGTTCTTGTAGTCCAGATAAAGAGTGTCTACAGTGCACGCCTCCTTGTATTGGTCGTCTATTGTGAGCGTGATCGTCTTGCCTTTGACGAGTTCAACCTAAAAGCTTTCTTGACCTGATTGAACAAATTTTCCTGGTACTTCATTTTGTGCAATTCATTTTATGACATTTGCTACTCATAGATAGGTCCTTCAAAAGTCCTATCCGTAGCCTCAACGCGATGGGGAGTGTGAACGATTTCAACCGGGCAATGTTGACGGTACCACATTAGAGACTGGCGAGCGAGGCGCGGTCAATTCATATGCCGAAAACAGCAATGCATATAGGCTTCGCAACACCCCCCCCCCCCCCCCGGATCTAGAGAGGACCACCTGCAGAGCGGCGTTGGTTGGGACCGCTCGGGCGAAAGCTGCTAAGAATTTTCATGGCCAAGCTAAAGGGCCAACCAACTCACTGCGACAATGATGCATTGCGCGCCACGCGCCATATACGGAACTGGAGAAGAACTGCTTCCTCGGAACATGCGACAGCAGGGGCGTTGGCGGTGTGGGCGTCCTCGTCAACACGCACTTGACCATGAACATCTATCGACAACATCGCCACGGGTGCGATGGCTTTGTTGAACACCTTCACGACTGCGCCAAGAAGTCAGAGAGTTCCAAGATTACCAAGAAGCGTCTATCTCTGGAAACTCTCGAGCTGATTCGCCAACGTGGAGCCGCACGAGCAGCAGAAATAATATCTGATTTCCGTGTTGCAAGCTACCAGTGAAGCAATAAACGAAGACCTTGAAGAGAAAAGAGCAGCAGTACCGGTGGAAGCAGCAGATGCTAGGAAGAGCATCCGCAACACTCGCCGGTATTTCGCCAACTGTAGGACCTCGATGATCGGTCTCCAACGTCCGACTGGAACAATCACTGCATACCGAAAGGAGAGGCTATACACGTGGAGAAGGCTATACACGACTCCGCCGCCGATCTTTGACATCCACGTGCCGGCGTGTTTGGACTTTGAAGGGGCAATGCAGGAACGACCTATCCATCCTGCCACCATACCGCTTGGAGCAGGATGGATACGTCGTTCCTGCAGTTCTCCTTTCGAAGTCCGACACGCCATCTCGTCGGTGAAGAATCGTACGGCACCCGGTCCCGACAGGATCAGACCATTGGCAATTATCGCCCAATCTGCCTGCTGTCTGTAGTCTACAAACTCTTCACACGAGTCATCCTGAACAGGATTGGCAGAACACTAGACGAAGGACAGCCATGCGAGCAAGCAGGGTTTCGAAGGGGATTCAGCACGATCGATCACATCCACACGGTAACGAAGCTCATTGAAGTATCGCGAGAGTACAAGTTATGTCTCACGTTCATCGACTTGAAGAAAGCCTTCGACTCCGTTGAGACAGAAGCGGTTATCGAAGCCCTGGGCAACCAGGGTATTCCTACTCAGTACATCAGGATTCTTCGTGAGCTCTACAGCAACTTCACGACCAAGATTTCACCATTCTACAAGAGACATTATCGCCGTGAATAGAGGGCCGTCAGGGCGACACCATCTCACCCAAACGCGTAACATCATCTCCGCTCTGCTGACGACGCCCTACTAATAACACCTAACATCGAGCAGGCGAAGCGAATGCTGGCTGATTTCAACTGCAGGTGCGGAAAAGTCGGTTTGCAGCTGAATCTGACGGAGACGATGTTCATTAGGAACGGATTGGTTTCTGATGCCCCATTCTCGCTCAACGGAACGAACATCAACGGATGCTCCAGGCATGTGTATCTGGATTGAAAAAAACGACTCAACACCAGGTCTGTGCAGGAGGAGACGAGCAGTTTAGGGAGCTTTCAAGAACGACGATGAAAAACTTCCAGTTTCGTGCCCACCTCTTCGACTCCGCGGTCCTTCCTGCTCTGAATTACGCCTCAGAGACTTGGACTATAAAAGCAGGATGAGCATGCGGTTGGCGTTATTCACGCGCCATCGAAAGGGCGATGCTCGGAGTTTCCCGCTACACGCAAGTGAGAGAGGGAATCCGGAGCTCCGCACTCCGCCGACGATCGAAGATCAGAGACGCCGCCGCATTTGCCAAGGTTTCGAAGATCAGGTGGGCCGGGCACGTCATGCGTTTCGAGGACGACCGCTGGACCAGAGCGATCACTGACTGGATTCCACGGGATGTCAAGCGAATACCTGGACAACCGCCTACGCGATGTTCAGACTTTTTCGTGAAAGCTCTGAACGAATGGTATGAAGTTCATCGTGTCCCTCAAGCAGGGAAAACCCATTGGGTAACTGCAGTACGTTGCAGAGACGAGTGGAGGCGTTACTGGCGCCCGCTCGAAGAACTCTATTATCAACGGGAGCACAGGTGATACAGGTGGTCACCCATTCGAACACACCACTTTCTCCGCGGATAGAGGGAACATTTGAAAATGAATCAAGCTGTGCGCTGATACTGGTAACGAAATTGCCTAAAAGCGAACATAGCGGTGGGAGCGCTTCTTTTTCGATAAGACCAGACCTCATCAAGACTTGGACTCCTTGAAAACACCATGGTTAGAACGCTGTGAAATTTGAGCCTAACAGAACAAAAAGAGAACCGTGTGATCTAGAGTAGTCATAAGGAAAGAAACAAACCTCAGCAGTTGCACCGCCAGGTGAGAAGGCCAGTTCGAATCTCCGGCCCCTTTGTGTCGAGAGCGATTCCAATTTGAAGGGAGCCTCCCATCTCTTGAACTGCTTGGCGAACATTTTTGATGGTCCCACCGTGGTACTGAAACTTATTGTATTTCGTATAACTTCTTCTTCTTGTTGCTGCGCTTGGCCGACGGGCAGGGCACGTTAGGCGGTAACGAGCATTCTCTCAAATAGGCTCTTCCCTACAAGTTCCTTCTTGTAGAATAGCAACATGCAGGCCTGATTTGCAGCAAAGTTAGGGGTTTTCTTGTCCTTGTTGACTGCGACCACATGTTATGGTTTTTGAAAGCCAGAGTTGTTATACCTCATGACTTCCGTGTGAGAAGTTAAGACGAGCGATGTTCATTCCACATGTGATCATCTGCTTGAGCATGTCCACTGAACGGCAGGCAGGACCTGTACAAAGATTACCTGATTGCGAATGCATTACACAGTTTTTAGCTCATTTCTGATTGCTTCTTTTGAATCCAGAGTCCTTTCTAACCTAAGAGGCTAGTATCGGAAACAGCGCGACAAGGACACCGTTGCTGAAGGTTCTACATGTTGCTCTTACGATCTACAGTACTGAATGCATGCAGCATATATAGGCCCGCGACAGTTCAGATGCGCTGGACAGTTCACAGTTAGAGGGAGTCGTATTTGAGCACTGGTCGGTGTTGCAAGCGCAGTGTTAGTCGACGGGGAATAGCGTAGAATCGCAGCTTAGATCTACGTGAAAGTTTGTTTTTTCGTTTATTTTGCGTCTTTACTGGGCATATTCTGCATTCTTTGGTAGTTGTTTCGCAGATACACGGGTACACCTTTTTTGCTGCTATTAATTTTTATAAATCCTGCTAGTTATTTTTTGAATTCTCCTGATAGTTTGATTGTTGGTATAATGTTGCTTAGATTAGTGAATTCATATCTTTTTCAGCACTTTTTGCTTAGCTTTGCATCACCAATTCTTCGTTTCCAGCTGTCACAACGGACTACAGCGACTTGTGCTGGAAGGGATGAAAGTCCTACTCAGATCCGCTTTCGAGGGGAAAGGGTTGTGACGTTCATTTTTCTCGGTGGAACAGCGCACCCTGATTCAAGTTTAGCTCTGGCATGCTTCACTCCGTTGCTTCGTAAGAATTAGGCTTCATGGGTGTTCGCCATGGGCAGCTGCCTTTTTTTGCACTTGGAGGCGGTCGCGTACTGCATTCTTTGTTAACAATATTCAAGGCCCCATTAGTACTCGCAGTCCAAAGTAGCACCTACACTCGTTGTGAGAAACACAATGAGGTTCTCATTGGGGAGGGAGCTCGTGGATTACCCTACGAGAAACTTTCTTGAAGCTGAAGTTACCGGTTTCCCCGTATCATGGGCTTCGCCCACTAGCTCACGGCCCGGCTGGCCGTGCATGCTCCCTCCCCTTCCATAGTAAAAATTTCACGAAAAGTGTTTAGGAACGGTGGGAAGGCTCGTGAGTATAGGTACCAAAGGATAAAGTTGGAGCGAGGTCTGTCAGCCCCAGAATTTACAAAGTGATTTATCCTCAGTCCTAAGTGAAAGGTTGATTTTGTGTGCGCAGAAGACAGATGCCTCATCGCGGTGCCGCTGCCTGACATATCAGGCGTATTTGAAGTCACACAACCCGTCCAGATCACTGGCCTTAATAGACTTCTTTCCTAAATAACGCCGCGATGTGGTTCACGTTGGTGTTGGCGCTTTCTTCTAGATTAGGTCGTCTTGCTATCATCAAGCAGGATGACCAAACCGGGAAATCAAGTTGTGTAATGACTCGGACAAGTACTAGTCAGGGAGAAGTGTGCTATTTAGGTTGTCGCGGAAACTTTCTTAGGGGCGTTTTGTGTTTCGATACGCGCCAGAAATCCCATGTTGAACAGAAAAGATGATTGCCTAGCAATTTCAAGTGAGCTCGCCCCCTTCGTTGACCTCTATGGGCTTCAATCGCCAGCGACTTCGGACTGGGTCAGCTGAAGCCACCCACAATGAGTCTGTTTAGCGGTGGTCGAAACTCGAGCTAGCCGTGCTCTCATAGGGTTAGTTGGTTTGAGGCTTTGTAAGCTACGAGACCTCTCTAGACCGCTCTTAGTCGTATGGTTGAGACTGCTCTTTAAGTCTGGAATGGCTTCGGCGGTAGGTCACTCTTACCTTTTACTTTCCAGGCTCCGACGAAGGCTAGAAGGCCGAAACGTCGGCCAAATAAAGTTGTTAACATCTTGGCTGTGGTTTAAACATCTAATTAGAAGGACCTCACACGATGCCAAGATTCGTTGAAAGCTGACCTCCTCTGTGCCTGGCTGCTCTATTAGGCTGCGTTTATACTTTGCGGCAGCGTAGCGTAGCGCTTCCAGCGTACGCCAGCGGCAGTGCCGAAGAGAGGATGCATATCGATCTAGCTTCACCAGCGGCACGCTGGCGTACGCTGGAGCGCGCTACGCTACGCTGCCGCAAAGTATAAACGCAGCCTTATAGGTTCATAATATCAAAGATCTTGCCTATGGTGCAGTGATTATTCAGTTTTGTTCTCGAACATCAGCGAGCATTTTGGAATGTCGAGCTCGACATATGTGATCATGAGATTCTCGGTGCACCCAGCTCTTCACATTTAACTTGCTCGCTGAAATGAGCTGCTTGAGCGCAGTTTATAAAGCATGTCGCGAATGCCACGGCGATCTTAGGCAAATTAGCCATTGCGGGACCGAGCTACGAACATCCATGTCACATCACTCATGTTAACATGCCACAAGTTTTCTGAATTGATGTTACGGGTCCGCGGGGCGCTCGCACAAGGCACAGCGAGTGTGGAAAGTATGCGAGGGTCCCCGATGCAATAGACCGGACCCCGCCACAGAGCCGGGAGAAATGCTGAAGAAGAAGAAAAAGAAGAAGAAGAATCTGAGCCCGAAGTTTGCCAAGCGTTTAGGCCAAGCTTGCACCTATTGCTCGAGATCGTTATCATTCTCACACGCGAGTATCTGTAATCCACATGGAGAATTCTTAGGAGTCGGTTTCCGAAGGTCTCGTGAAGAGCACCCATGACGACTACGGAGAGTAACGGTAAAAACGCAGAGCTTTTGCACCCCGACTGTGATGAGAAATTTCATCTAAAAGCGTGCTGATGTTTGCACGCGACTCCTTAGCCGGAGTACACCGTAGTGTTGTAAGGCGCATCTTATAATTTCACGCAGGAATGCCTTCTCCAAATTGGGTGGGGCTGGATATTCATGCCTCTGCTTCTTACGATGTTCCCTCAGCAAGAGGCGAGCGGCATGTGTGTCGCCTGTGCCAATCACGAACCTACAAACTACTGGTGGAAAGGTGGACAGTATCACGAATAGGTCGATGAAGTATTCGCTCAAGACTTCTGCTGTGCGAGAGTAGGCGAATTTAGCGTTAATATGAACACTTAGCAGGGCTGCCCCTGTTCTTCCGAATCGGAGCTGAAGTGCCTTCCTGCCCCTTTTCGGGCATCTTTTTCTCTGCAAGAACCTGATTGAAGACTTCTTCAACCATTCTGCGGAATATCAGCAATGTGACTTCCATATGTCGGTCACCACGTCGTGAGGACCGCTTGCCTTGCATGGCTGAATCTTCTTTAGCGCCACTCGCTTCCTTCCTTGTATGTTGCCTTCAAACAGGGACCATCCGATTATGCAATGGGTATGGGCTGGGCTGGTGATATGTGAAGCATGTTGCGAACCAGAGCCGCCTTGTGTGTTGGACCTTTTTTCGCTATTGCTGCACTCTGGTACGCGCGTCTTCTTCCCCTCCCCCGTCGTTTGCAGGGTGATGACCCCCACGCTGAGCGACTCCACTCTGAACGACAGCAGCGAATTTTGTCCCTTGAATAAAGTACGTTGTACGAGTTCTTTATGTAAAAGAATATTTCTCTATGTTGACTAGCACACGTTAATTCAGAGTCCTCGATACCTGAATGTGCAAAAGCCTCTCGAATGTAGCGGCGCTCTGCAATCATAAGAGAGTTTCATTTGATGGATTCTCGACGGCTTCTTTTGCTTCTCCAGTAATGAGTTACCTAACCTACCGCCTTGACATTTGTAATACCTGTATCACCTGTGCTCCTGCTCATAAAGTGGTTCGAGTGGGCTTCCAGTACGTCTCTATTCGTCCCTGCAACGTCAGAGCTGTCCCGTTCTCTGTGCACGACTGGACACGACGAACTTCATACCATTTTTTTTCACAGCTTTCACGAAGGAATCTGACCGTCGCGTAAGCGGTCGTCCAGGTGTTTGCTTGGCATCCAGTCGGTAATCGCTCTGGTTACCGTACGTTTCAGAACGCACGACCTCCCCAACCAACCTGATCTTTGAAAACTTGGCAAATGCGGGTGCCTCTCTGATCTTCGATCGTCGGCGGAGTGCGGAGCTCCGGATTCCCTCTCTCACTTGCGTGTAGCGGGAAACTCCGAGCATCGTTCTTTCGATGGCGCGTTGAATAACGCCAACCGCATGTTCATCCTGCTATCGTGGAGTCCAAGCCTTCGAGGCATAAGCCAAAACAGGAAGGACCGCGGAATCAAAGAGGCGGGAGCGGAACAGGGTGTTTTCGCTTTGCCACTCACTCGACATTCTTAAAAGCTCCTCAAGGCACTCGCTTTCCCCTCCTCAACTCTGGTACAAAGTCGTTCATTCAGGTACACATAACTAGAGCGTTCAGAGTAGTCCGTTTTCTTGAGCTAGAAGGTGTCGCCCTGTCAAAATCGTTACTTCGATGGTCTTCTCGTAGAATGATGAGATCTGGTCGTGAAGTTGCTGTAGAGCTCACGAATCCTGATGTACTGAGTAGGAATACCCTGGTTGCCCAGGGCTTCGATAACCGCTTCTGTCTCAACGGAGTCGAAGGCTTTCTTCAAGTCGATGAACGTGAGACATAACGGCATCTTGTACTCTGCTTCGATGAGCTTCGTTACCGTGTGGATGTGATCGGTCGTGCTGAATCCTTTTCGAAAGCGGTGGCTGTCTTCCACCTACAATTCTGTCAAAGATAATCGTATGAAGAGCTTGTAGAAGACAGGCAACAGGCGTATCGGGCAATACTTGCCAGAGTGAATCCCAACCGTCTCCCTTCTTGTGCAGCGACACAGTCCTGCTGATTTCCCCTCTATGTAGATGCCTTGCGTTCCAACAAATACCGCCTGAAGAGTCGAGCCAAAGTAACGGCAAAGACTGGCAGAAGATTCTTCAGATTTTCGGGTTCACTTCTATCGTACGATTCTTCACCGACGAGATGGCGTGTCGGACTTCAGAAGGGAGAACTGCAGGAACGACGTATCCATCCTGCTCCAAGCGGTATGGTGGCAGGTGGACGTGGCTGTCAAAGAGATCAGAGTAGAAGTCGTGGATGACCTTCTCCATTGCCCTTCTGGATGCGGTGATTGTTCCATCCGGACGTCGGAGGGCGGTCATCTTGGTCTTA